CGAAATCAAAATTAAAAATGCATGTTGAATTTCAAGGCAGCTAGTCCACACAGCAGATGACATATATTATACTTTTCGTTTAATCACAGAAACCGGCATACTGATATTATTTTGGTAATACGAAGATAGAAAATTTTCTAAACAACGGTAAAATTTATTAACCCACGATAATCGATATCCTCATGCATAAATATATACAAGTATAACTTTACCCAGCAACGCGTAACTATGATTCACTTACAGCATGCACGCATTAAAAAAAAAAAAAAAAATCAAGGCGACGTGTTACACAAATACAGCAGAGCAGCATGTGAAAATACAAGTATTCAATAACCAATCAAAAGCAAAATTTTGTTTACACCATTCTAGATGGCGGTTAACCATACACTCCGTTATGCAAGCATGACTACGTTCCTGGTATAAGTCGTAAATATTGTCATGCGTCATATAAAACAAAGAATAACACTCTTATTTCCCGCTGCGGGGAATAAACCGGTAAATCCTATCAGCTGGGGGCCCGAATGGCCCCGGCTGGATTGAGGGATTTACTTCTTATTACCACCGCTGCGGGAAATAAATAGTACTTGCAGATCATAATGAAAGAAATTTAATGGTCTCAATTTAAATATATAAGCTCTACCAAAATCTACTTTACTTTTTTTCTAATAATTCTAACCCTAAACCCTAACCTAACTATAAAAAAAAAAACCTAACAAAAAAGGCCAAAAAAAATTTTAAAAATCGGATCTGCGACAATAAATGCTGCTTGTCGAACTTGATGCAGATAGATTTTTTTTAAAAATGTCAATCTGCCTGATTTCGATTGACAGCAGCCCAGATGATTTGATATTCACGGAGTCTTCACAAAAGGAAACATTTGGATAAAACCTCTCACATGGTGATCTACATTTGCATTAATAATAATAATAATAAATTGATAAATATTAAGAAGTTTTTTAGAAGACTCATACATTACAGATTACTCGATCTCATTATCAAAAAATCATATATCGACGAATTTTGACCTTTATACGGCAAAAACCCTATATGTACTATAATAATTTAATATCAATATAAATTTATTAAAAGTTTCATAAAACCATCATTATTTAGTTTAGATTATTAATCTAGAATTATAAATTACTTTATAACGAATATTATTGTCGAATATAATAATAAAGTTTATCATTGTCTACTCCCCAACATGCCTGTCAAGATTAAGGAGACACTTTACATTAAGCCAGCCAGGCCAACGAAACATATTCAAATTCCGCTTTCTAATTATGATATTATAACTCAACCATATTATTTGGGGTCCATTGTCTTTTTTAAAAATGCCTTTAAAAAAAATAATTTTATGAATATTCAAAAACTTTTAGCTTCGCTTGAAGAAGTATTAACCGATTATTATCCTCTGGCTGGTACACTTAAAAGTGAGCCTGATGGTAGATCTATCATTGACTGTAATGATCGTGGCGTTAAATTTATTATTGCCGAGTGTTCTGATATTACAATCAATCAACTTGAAAATAAGAAATGGGAACATTCGGCTATTCCTCATGAATTGCTGCCATCATCACCTATTCCTAATAAAATTGATCCAATTCTATTTATAGCACAACACACTACTTTTGCTGATGGATCCGTAGCTCTTGGTGTTTATATGCATCACCAAATTATAGATGGCTTTGGTTGCTATACCTTTATGAAAAATTGGGGACGAAAAGCTCGTTTTGAGCAGATTGACCCACCTATTCATGATCGAAGCCTATTAAAAGCAAGTGGTAACCCCCCAACCCATGTTCCCCACGAATATTTTATAATGAAACCGAGGTCTGAAAAGACTTCGAACATACAAAAATCTCCTGCAACTTCATCTTTAACTACCAAAATTTTTCACTTTAGTCAAGATAATCTTAAGAGATTAATTGATTATTATTCCATTGGCATTTCTAATGAGAATTGGATTTCAACAAGTGATGCACTCATAGCTCACATTTGGAGGACAAGCACTAGGGCCCGAAAGATTGATTTAAACACTGAAGTATTCTGCGGAATTGCTATTGATGGACGTGATATATTAATTCCACCAATTCCCAAAAATTATTATGGAAATACTACTTTGTAAATACATTTTATTCACTCATCATTATTATTATTATTATTATTATTTATGCTTAAAAATAAATTAATATTAATTAATTTTATTTTATGTTTAGTCATTTACGTCTAAAAATGGATGTCTTTCAATTAATTAACGGTACACCATCTTCAGTAGCACTTCAAATTCGAAAGGCTGTTACAAATATGAACAATAGTCATATTCGATCCATAATTGATTGGATTGAACAACAACCAGATAAATCATTGATCATGCCAAGTTTTATGCTCAATGATATAGCAATAACTAATTGGTCAAAATTGCAAAAATCTAATTTAATAGATTTTGGCGATGGGACTCCTATAATACAGAGAATGAGGCGAGAAATGGAAAGTGATGGGATATCTATAATAATTGGTGTTGAGGATGGATTAGATGTGTACATTTGTTTACCAACTGAAAAATTGGAAATCTTGGAACACGATCCTGAATTTAAGAAATTTATTGTTCCCATTATGGCGCATTTGTAAACTACCCCAAAATCTGAAAAAGTTTGACTACGATAGTAAGTCATTTAATTTAACTTCATATTTTGTCCCCAAATCCAAATATTCGATTATTAAATTATTATTTAAAAATAAATCCCCAAATTTTTTTCACCACAGTTTTATGGCAACATAACGTCTAACCCATCTTCCCACCATTCAACACATTTTCCTAAAAGCTTGTACTTGACATATAATTTAAGCTCAGGTTACTGGTATTACTTTGTAACTGCTTATCACGTTATTTCTTTTTCATATTATTATCTTCCTATTTTATGTATCATTTATATTTTATTCCATATTTAGTTGATTTCTTCTATATTCTTATTCGCTGTTGATTCATAATTATTTTCTTATCATATGAAATTTATGTTCATAGTACAGAAAATTAATTGTATTATCAGTTACGAAATATATATTTAAAAAATATTAATCTATGAATATTCTTTTATTTTTAGACAGGTATCTAATGATTTTGTTAATAAATATTTTTTAATGAAAATATTTAGACTTTTATTTACAAAACAACTACGTCTTATCATAAAATGAGAATTAATAGTCACTTATCGAATTCCAAATAGCATGAAAATTAAACTTTAAAAATAAAAAGTATCCTCTTGAATATTCTATTAAAGCTTATGTATTTCCACAGTGAATCGTAACGAGACATGTGCAAAAATGAAATTTTCGATATTTCTAATGGTATGAATAAGCATTTATATCACTCATTAATCAAATTTAACAACTTGGTTTATACTCAGATAAAGTTGCGAAACTATAATGATGAATCTGCATTCATTGTAGGTAGGGTTGAAAACATACATTATAATTTACACAATAGTATACATAATTTATGAATTTTTAACTAAGTGAACATATGAAAATAGCTTGTAGGTTCGTAAGTTTTACAATCCTAACTGCAAGTAGTACAAAATTTAAATACTAATACTGTATAAATGCTCTAATTTGTGTATGTAATCTATGAAAATGTATTACTTTACATTTATTATTATTATTATAAATACAGTATACAGTCAGACCTCGATATAATCACCAGGTTGGGATACAAAATTTTGGTGATTATAAAAGTCGTGACTATATAAATGTCGAAATTTATATGTTTTATAATAGATAGATCAAAAAAAATAGTGTGATTATAACAAGGTTGTGACTATATTGAGAGTGA